AGCCATGAGCCACATCTAACTGAGCATTTTAATGTGGCTGTGAAACTAGAGAATTGAATTTTTAATTTTATGTAACTTCAATTTCAGTGGAAACAGTTGCATTCAGCTAATTTGTGGTGCATTGGACAACATAATTCTGAAGTCATGACAAAGAACACATACATTGGCTTTGCAAAGAGGGGAAATGTTCTGGTGCAGTGGTACACACCTGTAATCCCAGCTGTTCAGGAGGCTGAGGCAGGAGGATCAAAAGTTTGAGGCCAGCCTGAGCAACTTAGCAAGACTCTTCCTCAAAATAAATCTTAAAGGGGTGGAGATGTAGCTCAGAGGTCAGGTGTCACTGGGTTCAATACTGGGGGCAAAGGGCAAGGAGAGAAGAACTTTTTCTTTCTTTCTTTTTTTTTTAAATATATATTCGTCCTGCCTGCCCTCATGCAGCCCTACTTTGAGGTCCTATTAAGAGGTAGTGAATTCAAGGGCTTTGCAAACTGTAGAGTGCAGTTCTCGGTTCTCAGGAGATGCTCTATATGGGACTCTCTTCCCTCTTGCCTGAGACAGAGCCCTGACCAGAGGGTACCTGTTTGGATGTTCTCTCGCAGCGGGAAGAGGGTGTCCTGGGTTCTGGCCCCTGCAGCTAAGGCCACCTTGTGAAAAACCTTTCCACGAGGTTCTCTTTCACTCAGTCCTTCACTCCACAGAGATGGCCGTTCTCCCGTCCTTGCCAGGCACTGACGGGCCTTGGGAACAAGGGGGCAGCCATGTGTGCTTTCTGCCCACCTGGAACTTAGGGAAGGAGCCGTAGCGTGGAGGGGTCACGGGGCTGGGGCTCAGGCACGTGTGGGTTTGCTGTGGGCAAACCTGGATCTCTCTTCTGTAACAGCAAGCAAATGGGGACCTGCAGACCCCACGAGGTGGGTGGGGCTGGGAAAGTGAATCAGCATGGCCCGTGGAGATGTTTGGAGTCAGAGATGTGTCCCTGGAGGAATATCGGGTAGGGACAGACAGCTCCAATACCCACTACAGATAAAGACGATGACCATGACTTTATCACAATATATTACAGCTTCTTCTTCTTCTTTTTTTTTTTTTTTTGGTTCTGGGGATTGAACAACTGAGGGACACTTCTGAGCCACATCCCCAGCCCTGTTTTGTATTTTATTTAGAGACAGGATCTCACTAGGTTTCTTAGCGGCTTGCTTTTGCTGAGACTGACTTTGAACTCGTGATCCTCCTGTCTCAGCCTCCCTCCCGGCCGCTGGGATTACAGGCCTGAGTAATGGCGCCTGGCACATTACAGCTTCTTTAAGAATACTTAAAATATCAATTCCTAGGAAGACCAGGAAGAAGACGCAATCATTCATCTATGCAACATTTGTTGAGGGAGGAGATCAGACTGCGAATACAGACCTGGATGGTGGCCTTTCCTTGGGGATCTGGCAAGGGAGCAGAAGGGCGAGAAAGGTACGTAAGGAAACAGCCAAACTCTGCCTGGACATTCCACAGGTATACACCAGGCCACTAGGGACCCAAGGAACAGGCAACCACAACTTCTGCTCTCAGGAAGCTTCCAGAGGAAGTGGGAGGCAGATATTCATCAAATAGCCACTCAAATATATAATTAGAAAGTGCGATAAGGGTTCAGAAAAGGAAATATAGCGTATGGTAAAAGGTACCATTGTGAGATTTAGTGCTGGTAGGAGGGTCAGAGATGCATCTCTGAAGAGGCCATCCTCTGAAAGAGTTTAATGAGGAGTGACAGTGTGGGGAAGGAGGGCCCAGGTGGCAGAAATAGCATATGCAAAGGCCCTGTGGTGGAGGGGCAGCTGCTCCTGGAAGTCAGTTAGCAGAAGGGATGGGCACATTATGTAGCTGAGGAAAAAGCAGAGCGCACAGGGTGGGGTGAACCATATTTGCAAGTCCATGAAGGGTTTGGGGGAGGGGCAGGGAGAACAGCTTTCAATCTGGACAAAAACATGGAGGGGCAGAATGAAGGCAGGGCTGGCCCAAGGGCAGCTGGTGTCAGGAGGTGGCAGTGGGGACATGCAGAAGTGAAGACTGGCGTGGGAGGTAGAGGGATGAGACCCGGTGTTGCCCTGGCCCTGTAGGAGGCGCCAAGAGGGGTCCTGGTGGACAGGTCTATGATGGAGGAAGTCTGATCCAGCAGACTAGGGAGCCTGGGAACCCCCTGCATGGAGTGATGGCCCTGGGCTCAGTGAAGTGGGCCACACGCCCCTGGTGGAAAGAAAGGGGAAAGACACTCTGATCGGCTGAATCTGGGGAGCTGTCAGGGGAAAGACACTAACACTGCGGGCTTTCTAAGTGCTTCACTTCACATCTCCTTTGACAGTCACGTCAACCCTACTAGGGCAGCGCCAGGATCACTCCCGTTTTACAGACGAGAAAACTGAGGCTGAGCCAGGCGCTGCTGCTGGGATGTGAACCCCAGCCAGGCTGCCCAGACCTGCCTTTTAACTTCAGTGTCAGATTATTCTCTGGTTTG